TTTTGCGTTTGCTGTTGCAGTAGCTGTTGCGTTCACAACCAGCTGTGACTCTCTAAAGACATGTGGTTTAGAATTTGGCCACAAATAATGAAGCCAAGGTTCACTCAAATCTAAAAAAATGACTTTTTTTAAAACAAACATCAACTACAAAGACAGAGTCTGTCCCTAGATCTCTTTAATGTTTAAAAAAAATATCTTTTGTAAGAGAAAGTTATTGTTCTTTGAATATATTAAAAAAAAAAACCCTAGATGTGAATATTCTCACTCTTTACAGAGCATCCATTATTAGAAGTACTTAATTTTGTCTTGCAGTCTGTAAAGTTACTTTGTGGATAGAACAGTTGCAAGTCTAGTGAATAACATTTGAATTTGTTGAGTTACATATGTTTGAATTTGTTGAGTTATATATATATATCTTTGACAATCAAGCTGATTATTCAGTTAGAACAGAAATCATTAAGAGTATGGAATTAATAGATTCACAGGCATGAGAACCTCATTAAAATTAAGTTTTATGGGTGCTACTTTTTTCTGTGGCCATAGTCTGATGTAGGCTGAGTATATTTTACTGTCGGAATTTTTACTGGAAAAATCATGAAAAAAATTTAAAGTAATGTTAAGACTCTGGGAATCATGTAACTTGTTACTGTTCAGAATGCTTGTTTCTAAATATATAGATGAAAAATTAACATTTATGTGTATCGGGAATGTGTGTGGAAAATCATTTAGATTATTAATTTGTTAACAAGATAAGGCAAAATAGCTGAAAATTCCTTGAGAAATAGAATATGGTTGACAGTTTTATTCAGAGAAAGGAGCCTGTTTTAAATATGTTTCCCCCCCTCTCCAGGATGTGGCTCAGGAATCTGTAGATTTACTGGCGTTCAGCTCTGTTGCAGACGTGGAGTCGCTGGGTCTGGAGAAGCTTAAGTGTGAACTCATGGCCCGGGGGCTGAAGTGTGGGGGCACGCTCCAGGAGCGGGCAGCAAGACTCTTCTCCGTCCGGGGTCTGGCAAGGGAACAAATAGACCCAGCTTTATTTGCCAAGCCTTCGAAAGGGAGGAAGAAGTGAATTTCATCAGAGCCGATTTCATTTCTTTCTTGTCTGGCACGGATAACCTGCGTGATGTTGGCTCGTGGCCACTATTCCTGTTGATATTAAAGCTGACTTTTTAATAACTAAATTCTAACTGGCCTCTTTTTCATCATTACATTTATAGAATTAATGTGTGAAACCAGCTGGTCTGACATTTTTGTGGGAAGATTTTTTTTCCCAACAAATTTAATAACAATAAAGCTTATTCAGATTTTTGGTTTCATCTTGTATCATTTAGGTAAGTTATATTTTCAAGGAATTTATCTCTTTGACCCAAGTTGTCAAATTTGTGGACATGAAGTTATTTAAAATAGTCTCCTCTTATCCTTCAAAAGTCTGTAGGAGCTGCAGTGGTCACTTCTTTTTCATCTGCATTTTCAAATGGTGTCGAGAGAGAGAGAGAGAGCGAGAAAGCCACCGCCACGGCCCCCTTCACGGTGTTAGCAGGGACTCCGTTTATGTAGAAGGATGGTTATCACGCAGAAAACAGCTCTCCACCGAGATGCCGTGGGCAAAACTTGGTAGTAAGTAGTTATCGAAAAACTCAAATGGCTATTCAAAGAGAACACAGGCCTTAAAAGTCGTAGAGAAAGAAAAATCATTTTGTGTGATCTCAAATTGTGCTGCAGTTTGCCAGCTGTGGTCTAGTGGGGGCAGATGGTAGAGAAGTACACACGCTCCACATTTGGCTTAATCTTTCTGAGGATGGAACAAAGTTTCTGTTTGATCTTAGATGTCTATGGGAAAAGGCTAAAGTTTCAAAAAAGAAGTGTATGTGTTTTCTTTATTATCTCCTTTCAGGAATATTTTGGACACTCTCCTTGTTACACGATGGTAGAAACAAACTTATGGAGACATCGCTCTTGGTTTTTCCTGCTTTCCAGTTTTTTTTTTACTATATGTCAACTCCTCCCTCTCTTTTTTGTAAAGTCTCAAGTTTTTATTTGGGCCCAAGAATCATTCTGCTACATTGTCCATCCAGTTTTTTAATTTCATTTTTCATCTTCTCTGGTATTTTCAGAGTACTTTCATTTTCTTTCTTTAATGAAGAGCGTGATGGGCGGTGCACTGTCCTAACCCTTCCGTAGCTGGGAATGATTTTCTGTTGCCTTTGCAGTATCGAATCCTGAGTATTGAATCCTCGGCTTACAGTCTTTTCCTTTCACAATAATAGACATTTGCTATTGTTTTCTGGCATATTGTATTATGGAAGACAAGCTATATGTCTGTTTTGAGTTTTCTGTTTTATTGTATGTGTTTCTCAGACACTTCTGTATTTTTTCTTTATCCTTCAAATTAAAAAATGTCAGGTTATTTCTGGGTGTGGCTTTTTCCTTAATATTTCTTGGTATTGGGTGAGACTTGAGGTCTAAAGACTAGCCTTTTTATTTTAGACCATTATTTTCCTGTTATTTGATTACTGCTTTTATTCTCTGCTATCCCCCGTGGGACCTCATTTTCTGCCATATCCGATCCGCTGCATGACACCGCGCTTGTGTTTGTCAATTCAACAACTAGGTTTTCCCTTGGACAGTCTTTCTCGCACTCAGATTAGTGCCTCTTCATGCTCGCTTCTGTTTCATGGATGTGTTCTCTCGAACAGTGTGTGCATATGCTTTAAGGACTACGAATACCTTTGTTTCTCTTTCATAAGCACAGATTTCCTCTGATTCCTCAAATAAGTTTATTTACAATTAATTCTTTCTCAGTGTGTCCTCACGTGCATGAATTTAGGTCTCGGATGGGATTAGATGTATAAGAGATTTATTGGGCCCTGGTGCAGGAGAAGGGAGGGAGGGTCCAGATGCGGGTTTGACACCCATGGAAGGAGCGGGAAGACAGGCATGGGTGGGAAGAATCTCAGGCTGCAGTGCAGTTACGAAGAGCGTTCAGCAAGGTCGATGGTGAGTCCTTACCCGAAGTCATCTCTTGGAGTCCAGCGTCTCCCTGGACTAGGCCTGCCTGGGTGCCCGTACCGAGCTCACCGGCCAGAAAGGACGGCCTGGGTGGCAACCTGGCAGATGCAGAGGCACCACCCGTTACTTAGCTCCTCACAGCAGAGAATCCGAAGGGTGTATGTCCATGGCTGCCAGGGTATGATTTTTTGTTGCTTAGGATTATTTTTCCAGTTGGGGTACTTGAAAGCAGTTTTCTCCAAATTATGTGGATATCTGTACAAATCTTAAAAAGCACACTCGAAGAGGGAAGGGGGAACTTTAGATCGAGTGGACGTTTACTTTGTCAGATGAGAGGCGATTTCACTTGTGAGGGATTCAGGTGGCCATGCCCAGAGCATTTCTGTTGCGGCGGCATGATGCAGGCTGGGCAGCACCCCCTCCTGCCTGGTGTGGGTAGCCCCTTCGGAGTTGCCAGCTCCAACTGGGCACCGCTCCATTTAGCAAGAGCTGTGAGCGAGCCTTGCTTTGCTCCCCACAGGCAAATGGATCTTAACTGGCAAAGTAAAAAGACCGTAATTCTGAAATTGCCTCTTTCTTGTAGCATTAAAGGCTGGAAGGAAGGGCGTTCACAGCGGCCGGAGACTGACCATCTGGCCATCCTCCCACGTGGCTGTAGTTGGTCCGGCTCTTGCTGGTACACGTGTTGGGGTGTTAATGGTCTTCTGCTGTGCGTCCATTTCGCTTGCTGATGCTTTGGTCACCTCAATGAGAGCTTGCAAAAGGGAGTTAAATATATGTGTGCAGATTACCACCTTGAACCAGCATCCATTAGTGGATTTTTAAGATTAAAAGGGCCCCTCAGAAAGTGCAGTAACTCAACAGCATCTACGAATGGTTCCGATCAAAATCAGGAAGGTACTATCGAACCTCATGGCACTGCTCGCGTGTCTGAACTAGAGTATCACCCGTGAAGGATGCTGTGGGATCCAGGTGGCACCGTGTCACACAGGCTATTGCTATAAGCCAACTGCCTATCAGCCTGTTTCCGGGGAGAACTGTGACTCAGGATGTGCCAGTCTAACCTCCGACAATGGAGAACCGATGCGAATGTTAAATGACCCTCGGCGTGACCTTTGCATTCAGTCTCCATGAGGTTTCCGTCTGAGAATAACTAAGTTAATGTGCTCATCCAAGGCATTTATAGGTCACTGATTCAGGATCACCCCCAGAGTTCAAGGCCACACAAACATGGCCCTGAGTCACAGGATGCTGGTGGGTTAAATCGAAGCATTTGCAGTGACATAAAACAAGTTCAGTTGTCCCTGGAATGCAGGCCGCGTGATGTGGTGGGCTTTAGGACAAGGGCTGTACAGTCACCGATCTGTGTCCAGATCCTGATTTTCCCACTTTCTAGTAGTGTTTCCTCAGAGAAGCTCCATAACCTGGAGCCTCAGTTCCCTAATCCTACCAGCAGAGGGAATCATATCTACTTTTAGGATTGTTAGGATTAAATAGGATAGTAAGGCACCTAGCACAGTGCGTGTGGCAGCTTGTAGTTGCCCAATAAATGGAAGTTATTGGAATACTCTAGAGCAGGGGTCCCCAACTCCTGGCCACACAGCTGGTGAGTGGCGGGTGAGCAAGCAAAGCTTCATCTGCATCTGCAGCTGCTCCCCAGCACTGGCATCACCGCCTCAGCTCCACCTCAGATCCTCAGGCATTAGATTCTTATAGGAGCACCGGTCCCTGATGTCAAAAAGATTGGGGACCGCCACTCCAGAGAGCACCATTATCCAACAGAAATGCAATGTGAGCCATAAATGTAATTAGACAGTTTCCTGTAGTCACATTGAAAAGTACAAAGGAACAGATGAAATTAATGTTAACAATACCTTTATTTAACCCAATATAGTCAAAGTATCATTTCAACATGTAATTAATATAAGGAAATTATCAAGAGGTAGTTTACTGTTTGGGGTGTTGTTTTTCTTTTGTACAAAGTCTTTGAAGTCTGGTGCTTAGGAGCCCCGTGTGACTTGTGGCTGCCGTATCGGACATTGTGACTCTAGAACACATCTAAGGCCAGGCCGCGCGCATGGTAAACAGCTCATCTTAATCCAAACCAGAAGCAGAATCAGGCAGAGGGCACTTGGGGCTCTTCGCATGCTCCTCGCCTCCCTCGGGTGCCGAGACAGTCACACGAAGTGTATGTGAAATGAAACCTTCATGAGCAGTCAAGTGTCCCACGTGCAACGTGGAATTGTATTTTCTGTGGGGACACACACATGCCGGGTTGGCTCAAACAAGTGTGAGCTGTAGTCCGTGACTCTTGGTCTTGCTGGTGCTGGGCTGGGTGACATCCTGGCCAAGTGCCCGTGGTATCTGTTTACTTCTATGAACTGAGCTGTAAGGCATGGCTTGAATTTGCATGGGGTAATAATCAGGCACTTTAAGACTAAAGCATCTTGGAATGAAAAAGTGGTGAGGAGTTAGGAATGCAAACAAATACTCAGTGAAAATGGGCATTCCATACTGAGAAAGTCCCCGGGGCTGGACACCTCAAAGGAATGGTTTAGCGAAGGAATGAGTTTGTCTAGGAAGGCACGTCATGTTGCAGCTCATTTTTAGAACAGCTCACGTGTTACCTCCCCCAGTTGTGAAAGAAACAGTGAGCCTATTATAGAGACCTAGAGCTTCCAGACTTTGTTAATTGTGCATGTCTATCCGTAAAACACTGGAGACGTGCACTGAAGATAGTGTCATTCATCCGTTCAGAGCCTTCCACTGGTCCCCATTTCTCCCTGAATAGAAGCACTTACCTACAAGGGCCTGCAAGCCCTTCTCAGCCTACACTCCTCCCTGACCTCACCCACTCTGTCTCACCCCGCCCCAGCCAAGATGGCGCCTTGCTGTCCCTTGAACAAACTGAACACACCCAAGACACTCCTGGCCCGGATCTCTGCACTGACTGCTCTTTCCGCCTGGAACGGTCTTTCTCCAGCAGTCCACAGAAATGGCTCCCTCACTTCTCACTGTAACTTAAAATGACAGCTACCTCTCCTCTCAGACACATCCCTATCTTTCTTTCCTGCCTATTCTTTTTCATTCACATGACCAATTTTCATTCTGTTTATTTTACTTGTTATTTTATTTGCTTTTTAAATGTCCCTCACCCTGCGTGGAGGATAAACTCCATCAGGGCAGAGATTTTTGTTTGCTTTGTTAGTGCCTAGTGCATAAAAGGTGCTCAACAAATATTTATTGAATGAATAAATGTGCTACTGTACTAATATGATGTATTTTATAAAACAATAAACA